ATGGCCAATTTGCCCTCTCAGGCTCCTGGGATGGAACCCTTCGTCTTTGGGATCTCACAACGCAAGTAGCTGCTCATTTAACTATGGGGCACTGGGAAAAAGCTGGGCAGAAATGAGGTAGATGCTGTTGGGAGGTGGTTTCCAAAGGACAGTGAGGTTCATTGTGGGAACTGTAAGGCAGGGCATACATAGAGAAGATAGTTGGGTTGCTTGGCTTCCATCCTTGCTGCTTTTAATTACTTTCACAGAGTTGCTTCAGAGTGGGCTGGTTGAGCAGTTTTGCCACATACTGTGGTTGAGAGTAGGCAAGGGTTTGAACATGTTTTATCTTGGGAGCTCAGTCTTTGGATGGTCAGGCATAATGGAGGATCCTAGTGATGACAGATGACATTGTCAGCCAATCCCCATGTGGGAGTGAGGACATGTCCTGCAATTCTGAAGGGATTCTCTGGCATATGCTCAACCATGTTGTGATCAGACCCATGTCCAGGGTCATGTGAGTAATGGCAGCTCCAGTAAGACCAGGGAAGGCCAGGGAAACAGTCTGATGTGGAAGAATGTTTGCAGAGTCTAGAGACTGACCAAGTCCTCTTCCTTAGGGGTACCACCACACGCAGATTTGTAGGACATACCAAGGATGTGCTGAGTGTGGCTTTCTCCTCCGACAACCGCCAAATTGTCTCTGGCTCCCGAGATAAAACCATCAAGCTGTGGAATACTCTGGGTGTATGCAAATATACTGTCCAGGTAACAGTGAAGGCACATGCAGAAAGCACATGAAGATTCTCTCCCATCCTTCTTAACCTTGGCATTATGTGGTGATTTCAAGCCTGGCTTGGGCTCCAAAGGGGTTCTGTTGATATTAAAGGTTTGGGTTCCAGGGATGTGAGTGCAAAGCCATCAGTGTACCTCCCATGTAACTGAGGGAAGGGGTGAGGGGTTTAGTTTCATGGGACAGGATAGTTTCTCCTTACTTCTTTTCTGTCCTCTAGGATGAGAGCCATTCGGAGTGGGTGTCTTGTGTCCGCTTTTCACCCAATAGCAGCAATCCCATCATTGTCTCCTGTGGCTGGGACAAGCTGGTCAAGGTGAGCTTGAAGTCAGGATGTAGGGCTTTTACCAGCCAGAAGGTTTCCATTGCCTCGTAGGTGGTCATAAGTTCTAACTTTGAAAGCTTTATTCCTCAGTTGACGTTTCCTATTGCTATTTTCTAACTATTAGTTTTTGATATTTGGTGTGGAGTAGCTAATTGAACCCAATATCCCTTGTAGAGCAACGAAGCATTCTTTATTTAATCTTGATTGTCCTTAGGTGACCAAGACAAATTCTTTAACCTTTTTTGTTACTGGTAGAATGAAAAATGGCCACCATATCCAGAAATGCTTTTAAAGAAGGTGCCATGCCTTTTTTGTCTTGAGCCCTCCTGACCCCAGTGGATTCGGAGCCAGGTTTTTCACTTATTACCCTTAACCCTCCCATATCTAGGTATGGAACCTGGCAAACTGCAAGCTGAAGACCAATCACATCGGCCACACAGGCTACCTGAACACTGTGACAGTCTCTCCAGATGGATCCCTCTGTGCTTCTGGAGGGAAGGTATGTTCAGGAGCTGGGAGTATTCTACTCAATGGGGGACAGTGTGTTGTTTTTTTTTGAAAAAATACTTAAGGTAGCAATCCAAGAGTAAATGTTTGTGAAAATTGTTTTCTAAAAATTATATAGACCATACTGTTTAAAAGATTGTTTTCAGTAAAGCTGGTTTCTTAAAGCTGTTGATATTGGAATTCTGTTTTCAGAACTGATTGTAGTGATTTTAGAAATTGTCAGGGCCTTGGTAGGGTTGATGGGGTATCATGCATTAACGGAGGGGCATTCAGAGATATACTGGTATTTGAATCATTAGCTTTGGGGAAGTTGTGGGAGGGAGAATAAGGATTAAGACAGAATCTTGACAGTTGAGATTAACACCTGGAATAGGTTTCATATTACCCTGACTCCCCTTTCCTCTTCTCAGGATGGCCAGGCTATGCTGTGGGACCTTAATGAAGGCAAGCACCTTTATACACTAGATGGTGGGGACATCATCAATGCCCTGTGCTTCAGTCCTAACCGATACTGGCTCTGTGCTGCCACAGGCCCCAGCATCAAGATCTGGGTGAGTATGGGCTACAGTTGAGGGCCGAGCTCCTGGCTTTATTCTTGTGAGCCATGGCAATTGTTGTGATTTCCTGATATGTCACTGCTGGGATTCGAGCTTCCTGAACTGCTGATCATCAGGCTATCAGTGGAGACCCAGGAAGAGCAAGTTACAACTTGCTAGGATTGGGATTTGCAGTGGTGCACGATACTTACCTACTAAAGGGTGTCACAAATTACAGCAATTTATTCAGTCTCAGCATAATCAACCTTTTGGTCTAGATAATTTGGTGGGGGGAGGGGAGACAGTCCTATGCATTTTAGGCTGTTTCACAACATCCTTGGCCTCTATTGCTTGGATGCTTGTAGTAGAATCCCTCCTTACCTTGATTTTGCCCCTTTCCCAGGACTTGGAAGGCAAGATCATTGTAGATGAACTGAAGCAGGAAGTTATCAGTACCAGCAGCAAGGCAGAGCCACCCCAGTGTACTTCTCTGGCCTGGTCTGCTGATGGCCAGGTAAGTGGGTCTCTGCTTAAGTGACTCAGCTTTTACCTTTTCTCTCCACCTCTTTGCTCTTGGAATGTCTTTGACATAAAATGAAATGACAAAACTAGCCAGGTTGATTTGAGAGAACCAAATTAGCTCTACCAGTGAACAGAGCACATGTTCCTGCACTGGAAGGAAAATTGATCTAACAAGCAATGATTACCTACCTTCCGTTAACACTTTGGATAACTTAATCATTTTACAAGAGTATGAGTCCTTACTACCAGCTGTTGCTTCCTCTAGGAATACATACCACCTACAACCTGGTGGTTAGAAGATTGGGGGTCTTAAAAGAAGGGAATGCAGAGTTCCATGGCTCTGACATGACCTATCACTGTCATTTCTCCCTTGCAGACTCTGTTTGCTGGCTACACGGACAACCTGGTGCGAGTGTGGCAGGTGACCATTGGCACCCGCTAGAAATAGAAATAGAGAAATAGAGGGCAGAACTTTGGAAATAAAACATTGGTTTGCTGACTTATAGTGTCTTTCTCTGATAAGCAAAACTGCTTTCTAATGCTGGGTTGCATCACAATGTACTGTGTCTCAGGTATAGATCCTTGGGGCCTCGCTTAAGCCTGGAGAAAATGTTCCTTGGGAATAGTAAAATCTCAGTTCAATCTGTAACATAAATAATTGAGTAGGCATTTGTCATTCCTCAAGGTAATATATTTTGAAACTCAAGTTAGTGTAGTCTGTCAAGTTGTCTTTTTGTTAAAATGGAGATTTTTTTGAACCCTTCGTCTGTGATAAGGCAACTCTCTCCAAAAGAGTTTCTGCTTAAGATCAGGTCCTTTTTACTCCCTCCATTGTTGGAGATTAAAAATTATGTAGTCTGCAGGTATTCATAAATACAATCACAGCTGGCTTTTTCTCGGGTAGTGGCTAAGTAAATATGTAGCATGTTGAAGTAGCCTGTACAGTTTCCTTTGCCATCAACTCCTAATGGTGATAAGGCTACTGTGGCTTTAGCTTCAATTTTATGGGATTTCAGCTAGATGCAATCACATGGAAAGACTTTAGAAATGTAAAGATTCTTGGGAAAACCAGAATGCTAAAACCTCAAAGCAGTGATAGACAAGTGGCAAACAATTTTCAAAGTGCATGCTGAAGAGGGTACCAATAAAACTATGCAGATATTCAAATGGGGTGAGAGTGAATATCCCAATCTATGGAAATAACATGAGTGGTGTAAAACGCAGGTTATGGGGAAGGTACAATCAGTCCTCAGTTCTGTGTCATTACGTTTATTGGAGAGACTGGCTTACTGTGGAAGAAACCCTGGCCCTACATTCTATTTTTGCTCACCTAAAGGAAAGGACTCCACAAAAGAAGCAAATAAACTTTATTTCCACAACACATCCCGTCTTCCCTTTCCCCCAGGAACAGAAGTTGACCTCTGCCATCAAAGCAAAGGACAAAAGCTGACAAGTGACAGAAGGCAAGGGGTTACTAGAAAAATAGATTATACCCAAGGCTCTCCTGGGGATCCAAACCCCTGTCCCCAGGCTCCTGGTCAGGGCTCACCAGATGGAGAGAACTAATATATGAGGCTGGATACTGACACAAGGAACTTCATTGGACAAAGAGGAAAGGAGCCTGGCAGTGAAAAGACCTGGAGGGGATGGGCGGGGTGAGCTTTACTCCTAATGTGAGTGCTGGAAAAAGGGTGGGGGAGAAAATAATTTATTGGGTAATACAATGGTATGTAGTTTCAATTGTGTTGACCATTCCAGATCTCAAGCTAAATTCTGGCCAGTCTATGGAGGTAGAAATTGGGGATGGAAGGAGTCTAGAATCCCTCCTACCTCCCCCAGAGAATAGACATTTATTACCCAGCTCTACCCTTTTGCCTAACCCGCCTCCCCCCAAAGCTTCCAAATCCCTTAGCTAAAATTTGCATCAGAAAATGGAATTTGGGGCAGACAGGAATCTTGCCCAAATATCCCAGCCTGGGAACTGACAAGAAAGGTGAAGAGTAGGGGCAAGGAAAGGGAAGTTAAGTAATAGAGTTAAATCTCCCCTCAACTCCTACTCAAAACCCTGGGTGGACAGAGGGAAGGAAAACCAGGCAGCTGTTCTCATCAGGGACCCATGCAGACCTGTTGGACAGACATTGCAGGTGAGAGAAGGCAGAGCTGCAGGCCAGGAAGGTTCTTTAGGCTCCTAGAGGGAGAAGCGGGCCTGGGGTCAAAGGGGAGTGGGAAGCAACAAACAGTGGAAGGAGCCTTTGAGCCCCTAAACTTATGGGACACCCTCCACCACCACCCGCCCCTCAAGTGCTGACCAGAGGGGCCCCTGCGGGTGGCAGGCTAATCAAGGGCATAGCTTGATACGAGTACCCTTGGAGAGCACTCGAAAGAAAGGGAAGACACGCTCGCCCAGGAAAGCAGCTGAGAAGGTATGCACGTGGGCTAGAGTCTCCGCATTGTAGAAGCCTAGGCGCCCAGCCTCATAGTCCAGGTACACGCCAAAGCGCCGTGGTTTCTCACTTGGGCTCAGCAGTGTCTGCTCCGTTGAGCTCTGTGCCTGGTAGCGTTTGCCATTGGTGCCCACACACCACACTTCGCGCTGGAGCAGGGGCTGTTGGGGTAGGTGGAGCCGGCGGCGGCGATGGTGATGGCGTGAGGAGCTGGCATCCCCACTGCCCAAAGAGGATCCCCCAGAGCCCACCTTCTCCTTATGATGGGTCGATTCACGGGCAGCGCCCACCGCCCAACCCCGCCGCCCTCCCACCTCTACCTCCCAGTAGTGCCGCCCAGAGCGGAAGCCTTGGGCCCCCAATACGCAGCAGTCGGCTGAGAAGCGCTTGGAATGGTCAGCAACCTCCTGCCGCCGCTCTGCCAGGCGGACCCCCCGGCGGTCAGGGGAGAGCATCAGGGCCGGGTGAGCCGTGTCAGGGTCCAGCGTCAGGTCCACTTGTGGAGGGGGAGGACAAATACGCCAAGGCTGGAACAACTGTTCCCCATCAGTAGCCAACTCCAAGATTCAGCCTTTCCTGCTGCCCTCCCCTTTGCCTCCCTCCCTGCCTGCCTTCCAGCTGTCCTCACCCCTCCCCATCCTAGAGACCAGACTTTGGTTCCTATGAGCTCCACCTCTTCCCCGACTCTTGTTTCCAGGACCCTGGACAAGTCTTCCCTCTGGCCCTGGCTCTTGCTATCCACCCTCCACTCCCACCATCAACACCTACCTGGTCTAGGTCAAAAACTACTCTTAGCTTGAAGCCCCAAGCGGCCTACCTGTATCCTGCTCCACCTTAGCCCCAATCTTCCCCCCCACCACGCCCAACCTCCTCCTCAGAACCCAATCTCAGGTCTGTGAAGGGAAAGGAAAAGGAAGGTCGTACAGGTGACCTCCCTACCTCGGGCAGCCTGACAGAACATCCGGCTCATTTTCCTCACGATGGCATCTGTCAAGAAGTCATGGCTATGGGGCTGACACGGGTCAGGGGACCAGACCTCTGGGGGTTGCAGCTGTACCTCTTCACACCTAGAGGAAGGGGACCGGGCAGGGGGTGGGACCATGATATTCCCAGAGGGAAGAGCAGAAGCTGAGGGGAAGGAGAGGAGGGTCCAGGAGGCAGAAACTCGGGTCCTGGGGAAGGAAGGAAAGGAGCGGGATATCCAAGAGAGGTAGGGATGGGGAACCAGATGCCACTGGGTCACAAAGGATAAAGGGTGGCAACACACCTATTGAAAGTCTCCTTGATGTCCTGGGAATAACAGAAACAAAAAGAGGGAGAGGGAAAAAGAGACAAAGAGAGAGTCAGCTGCACACAGACAGCTCCTTTCTCTCAATCTGATTCCAGCCAGAGAAAGGACTGAACTTGAACAGGGAGTAAGAAAAAGCAACCCTCAAGACCCTCAGTAAGTGTGTATCCATCTCAATCATCCCTATGCCCTAGCACACTTATCTCATCCTGCTGTGAGACCAATAATAGAATTTTCAACCCCAGTAAAAGAATTTTTACAACATGACTTAGGCATCTTTCTCAGGATGTCTCTGTCAAAAATTCTTTCCTTGACTCTACTTTAAAACCCTCTTTATACAATTGAATTTCTTTCTTTTCACTGGGTATAATCACACACACACCACATTTGGCATTAACCCTGTCCCCAGCCTCAAAAAACCTTTTGGTCTTAGGTTAAATTATCATGGGTCCTCCCAATGAGAAGAGAGGCAGCTCTGAACAGATGTTTGGTAAGCACTGCCTAACAGAGCAAATACAGGGTGCTGGGGGGAAGGCAGGGGGAGACAGGGAAGGGGGCACTGCTCACCTGGAGCAGCCGCAGGCCCCCCTGCTGGCTCCGCTCCTGGGCCTCCGCCAGCAGGCGGCTCAGCTGGGCAGCCTGCTCCGCCAGGCGGCTGGCCGCTGCTCCTGCACGCCCTAGCTGGGCTTCGTGCATCTCTCGGAGGCGCCGCTCCAACCCTGCCTGCTCTTCAGCCAGAAACCGTGTCAGCCGCCCGAACTCCGAGGCCACAGCTGCCAGCTCTGACTTCATCTGGCTCTGGGATGATGCAAAGGGGATGGTGGATACCACCTCAACACACAGAAACATAAACTTCCAATTTTGCAACTGCTGCCCCTCAATCCAAGGTAATGGAGCTCTGCATCCCAAATGGAAAGGGGCCCCTGTCCCTTCCACCACCTCCCAGCCTTACCAGGCACCACTCCCACACTCCAAAGCACACTGGTCTCAAACTCACTAACTTCTGCCTGCAACTTATCTCCACCCTGGCTATCTAACTTGATTCATTCTTCAGATCTAAATTTAAAAATATTCCCTGAGAGAAGCCTTCTCTCCCCACTAGATCTAAATCAGGACTACCCCCATAAATACCATCGTATCTCCCATAAATATCATTCATTATATATCCTCACAGCATTAATATTAATTTGAAATGTTGTTTACATTGAAGTATCTTTTAACATCCTTTTCCACCACTGCATAAGTTTTTTGTCACAGGATCCTCATACCTCAGAACAGCACCAGTACTTAGTAAACGTTTTTTGCAATGAATAAATTAAAAATTCAGGAATCAAGATATCAAGTTAGGGTCTTGACTATACTACTAATGACTTTGGAAAAGTCACCGAATCCTTCTAGATCAGGAGTCTAGCAAACTTTCTCTGTAAACGGCCAAGTGTTATTTTACACTTTAAAAGCCAAAAGGCAAAATCATGGATATCATTGTGTAGATTGTAGTCTATATATAATCAGAGAAAACTTCTGCCTAATCTCACCCCATTTGCCTGGACTGGGCAATCCCAGATAGTGGGCATGCTTTCCATGCAGGTATCATCAGCTAGAGACATTCTTGGGACAAAGAGGGACAGGCCAGAGTGAGGAAGGAAGTTCTGACTGGCTAAGTCGGTGAAGGAAAGTCAGCTTCACTCTCTGTCCCAGTGATACGCAGACCCGGACATCTTCTCTCTGCATCCCAGGACCCCAGAAGTCTCAATCTGAGCATTTGGCTAAGAGGACCCCCCTGGCTCCCAGACACACTCAGTGTGTGGCAATTGCCAGCAGCAGAGTCCCTAATGTGTAGGTGGCAAAAAAATAAGTACAAGACTTGGGAAGTGGCAAGACCCACCCACTGGCCAGGGAAAGATGAGGGAAGAGGTCAGACAAGAAAGATGTCCTGTCTTGGTCTCCAAAGCTCAGTGCCAGGCCATTCCAGTTTCTGCTGACTTTACAAACACACGTACAGAGTTGGGGGTGGGGAGGGTGGTATTAGGGAAAAAATATCTAAAAATACTCCTTGGGGAGGGGTGATCAATCAAGAAAAACAGCTGAGAAACACTGGACTAGAGAAGACCAGGTCTCTGTAACATTCTATCCTCTATTACACACCATGCCCTCCCCTTCCCGTTCATGCTCAGGGTTGCTCTACCTACCACCTACCATCTGTCCTGGGACCTGGGGCTTCTCTGATGGCTGTTATGTAGATTTTGGCTTGCCCACTTCTGCCCTCTGTGCTATCCAGCCTGGTGGGCACAGGCCTTGAAGTGAGGTGTCTGGGGTGGTAAGCCTGTTCTTCAGGCTTGGGCCACGGACCCAACCTCTCTACACTAGATCTGTTTCCACTCCATTCGGGAACCTAGAATAAATGTGCCCCCTGACCCTTTAAGGCCCCTCTCTCTTCAAAACCCTGGGAATGTCTCTACCTCTCTCCCAGGTCCCTCTTCAGGGAATCTTGTCACCACTTCTGAGAGTAGACAACCCATGTTCCCTGCCCTGATCACAGAGCCAGTAAGCCCTATCAAGGACATTCACCCACCTTCAGTTCTGTCACCCGCCTCTCCTCCTTGGCCTTCATCTTCTGCACAGCCTCTAGATGCTTCCTCAGTGGTTCCACATGCCCCTGCAGTTTGGCCTGAGGGAATGAGAAAAGGAAGGTTAGAAGCCTGGGATAGGAGAGGCACCTGCTTTCAGTGCCCACTTCCCCCATCCTCCCTGCATTGGACTGGGGCTCAAAGCCTGACCCCCATCACAGGTATCAGATGAGCATCATACTCTCTTCCTCCCCTCTCTTCTCTTCAGATGATGACAAAGGCCTCCAACCCTCTGCCTGCACTCATGTATAGAAGAACACACCGCTGAGTGTGTTCTCTATTGGTAGGATCCTGGTGACCATAGAGCTCCATACCCAGAGTTGGGGTGGACCTGGCTTGAGCCCCTCACCACACAAGGTCCTTCCATATGAAATGTTCCAGCCCTCAAAAGCAATCTTCCTCATTACTTTCATCTCTAAATATTTCTCTGATGATTTTGTGCCTGTGCTAAAAATCTTTCAGTGGTTCTCAATCACCTGCAAAATATGAGGTTCCTTCATTGCCTCTACATTTCTAGACTTCTCTACTACACTTACCCCTTCTGACATAGACTCTTAGTTTTAGCCACATAAAACTGTCTTTTCCCGAATGTAATTCTATTATCTTCATACATGCTCTTCCCTCTTTCTGGGATTTCCTTTCTTCACCTGGCCCAAGGCATTCTTCCTTTAAAATACCAGCTACCTGGGGTGCCTGGGTGGCTCAGTCGGTTAAGCGGCCGACTTCAACTCAGGTCATGATCTCGTGGTCCGCGAGTTCAAGCCCCGCGTTGGGCTCTGTGCTGACAGCTCAGAGCCTGGAGCCTGTTTCAGATTCTGTGTCTCCCTCTCTCTGACCCACCCCTGTTCATGCTCT